GTGCCCAGTGTTTGTCCGTGACCATGGGCTCGCGGCGTACAACTTCTCCACGCAGACGGACATCAAGTTGTCCGCGGATCAGCCACCTGCACCTCGTACCTCTGACATGGCGGGGCACATCGGCCAGATTGCCGAGGCACTTCTGCGCGCATGCTGTCGCGCCTTTCGCGCGCTCACCGCCCATGCCAAGCACGAGATCAACGCGCCCTCCTGGGCTACCGCCCGCGGAGGGTTTGGCGGCGCAGGTTGTGACCCAATGCTGGTGGCAACGCTCGCAGAGGATCACGCGAAAGTGACGAGACTGGCCACCGTGGACCCTGCATGGGCGCCTTGGATGCCCAGCCTTCCTAATTCTGCCGGCATCCCTGCCAGTATGCTTCAACGAGGACTCCTTCGACGCTGTCCACGGTCAAGCACCGTCCGCCGCGGCGCCTCGTTGGTCAGCGCTTGCAGATGGAAGGTGCTACTTATCCATGATGAGTGACAACGGCTGGGCCCCAATTATGGACGAGGACTTCGGCCTTTCCATCGCCCGCGCCTTCGGGCCCGATGGCCACGCTTTCGAGTGGGCCATCCTCTGTGGTGATTCCAGCTGTCTCACGGTGGCCAAGTCTGCGAGTGGCAAGAAAAGCGCGGCTACACCGCGTGCTGGCATCGACGAGTTGAACTCCGCCGAGGCGCGCCTTCGGATCGCTACTGCATCCAATCATGCCCTGCGCCCATTGGTTCGACCATGGGTGCGTGACTTTCAATGCCAGGCAGGCGCCGCATTGGGGGATTTCGCCACGCGGATGAGAGATAACATTATATGTTGGGCTCTTTCGCGCCCCAACTACACGCGATATTGGTTGGAGCACGACGCGTCGATTGGGCGCGACTTACCGCTGCTGCCGGAGGCCGGTGGCAAAGCCCGCGCCCAGCCAGCTGCCGCGCGCGAAGCTTATCGCGCTACTATCCGCTGTCGCCTCGACGAGATCATGGCCTCCACTGACCCAGCCAATGACGAGCAGAAGCAGATCCTCGCTCGGGCACGCCGCGCCCGTGCATTATATATGAGCGGCGCTGGGCACGGCGACGAGCATCGCGCGCTCAATGAGGTGATCCGGGCATGCTGGGCGGACAATTTTCCCGCGCGCGTCGAACATCGCCACTGCCAGCGCGGGCTCAGTGCTCTACTCTGGTGGTCTGGCAACGACGTTACTACCGATGGAAAATGCATGAAGATGGACCCGCGTCGTGCTCGTTCACCTTTACCTGCAGAGCATGAGACGCGCTGGCTTACATCACCAGGCAACGTTGTTCTCACTATTCCAGAACATGTCAATGTGGACATATCTCGTTGCGTTGAGGTTCTGAACTGTTTCCCGCCCCGCACTGTCATGGGCCCTGGCAGGGCCCACCAGTGGGGCCTACAGGATCATTTCAACGACCACGTGAAAGAGATGATCCAGATGTTCATTGGACATGGCATAGCCGTACTTCCTGCTGATCAATGGATCAGGCAGCAGGATCGCCCCCACGCGAATACTTGGCACCCACAAAAGACGGCACACAATTTGGTACAGTTACAGTTGACACAGCAGCTCATGCATGCCGCAACTCTCAGGAACCTCAGTGCGGTTCGGCTTTCGCTACCAACGAAGTTTTTCCCGTTCTGCCACCCGTTGATCCAGCCCGTCAATGACTACCAGGGCCACGCCCAGGCGCAGGAGATGCGCAGGCACTCCGCATCCGCCTGGAGCGACCCATGCAATTCCAACGCTCGAAGGGGCTTCAAGCTCTTCGCGTGCAGTCCCTGGGAGAGCACGAAATGGTTACGTGGGTGAACAAGACGTGGGTGGCACTCCACAATAATCAGTCTGAGCCTCCATTGGTTTTGCCGTCGGAGGTCACTCCCGCAGCTGGGTCGTCTTCTGCTGCCCCGCAACAACGGAATCAAGGTCCAATATCTGATTCTATTCTTGCGGAGGCTTCACAACTTGAAGACCCGCCACCTGCGTATACTCAGGCCACTCTTGCAGCATACGGCACAGACTGGGATGGAAAAACGCTCCATACTCCTACGGAAGAAAAGTGTTAAACGTCTTGAGATCTTCGTCTTTCGCCTCAACGGCATGGTCGACACGTTCCCCGACATATGGGTATCGTGTTCTTCCCTTGAGCGCATATTCCACAAGGATGTGTACAATCGGACATTCATGGTACGTCAAGCTGTTACTTGGTTGGTGCTGAAAGAACTTGTCAACAAAATTGCGGACACTGTCCCGAACCGTGCCAGTGAGGAGACAGGCATCCTCAACCATGAGCGCGTTGTCAACGAGGGATACATCATTGAGCTCACCACTAATTCCAGTCTCAGGCCGAGCTGCAGACGGAGATTGCTCCTGATCCTCCGTCTGTTGAGCCTGGATCACGTGTGCCTATGCCGCCTGCTCCTCCTACGTATCCTCCGCCACAGGATGACGATATGGTGGGTACGACTCCCAAGCGGCAGCTCCCTGCACCAGCTTGGGAGATACCATTGCCACCTTCGACAGCAGCGTCTGTGGCATCGGCGACCGTACCTACCCCACCACCAGCTCCGACGTCTCCTTCAGCAGGGGACAGTGGGATGCCGGAGGACACTCCCGCAACCAACCACCCACCGACAGAAGCCGTGCCATATATAGAGTCATGGGTGCACACGAGGAAGAGGAGGAGGTGGAAGAGGAGGAGGTTGAAGAGGATGACGACGAGGAGGAGGAGGGAGTCTGCCTCCTGCCTCCCCTTTCCCTCCTCTTCTTGTAGTGGCCTCCGGCCAGTGCCGCCGACCCGGGGCGCTCCGGGTGATGATGATGATGATGATGATGATGATGGTGGTGTGACGGTGGTGATGGTGATGGTGATGGTGATGGAGATGATCCCGGCCCCCCCTCCCCACCTCCCCTCCTCTCTCCTGTCCCCCTCCCCCTCTCTCCTGTCCCCCCCCTCCCCCCTCTCCTCTCTCCTTTCCCTTCCCCCTCCCCCGCCTCTCCTGTCCTCTCCCCCCTCCCTCCTGTCCACCCCCCCCCCCTCCTCCCCCCCTTCTCTCCGGACCCCCCCTCCCCACCTCTCTCTTGTCCCCTCCCCCCCCCCTCTCTCCTTTCCCTCCCCCCCCTCTCCCCTTTCACCTTACCCCCCCCCGCTCTCCTGTCCCCCCCCTCTCTCCTATCCCCCCTCTCCCTCTGTCCTGTCCAGCCCCCCCCCCTTTCCCCCCCCCCTCTCTCCTGTCCCCCCCCTCCCCCCTTTTCTCCTGTCCCCCCCCCCTCTCTCCTGTCCCCCCCCCCTCCCTCCTTTCCCCCTCCCCTCTCCCCCCCCTTCTCTCCTGTCCCCCCCCCCCCTCCTCTCCTTTCCCCCCCCCCTCGCGTGTCAATTCTTCCGTCGGTTTTTCGTCGTTTGCGTCCCCCCCCCCCCGACCCCCCCCCCTCCAGAGCGAAGTTTGAGCGAGCTCAAGCCCACGCTGTCAGAAACTCACACGCCGGATCGGCAGAGTTTCTCCTCTCGCCATTACCAGCAGTAGAATCATCAACAACAACAGTATGATCGCCAGCGTCATCGTCGTCATCATCATCTGCAGCAGCAGCAGCAGCATCATCATCATCAGCATCAGCATCAGCATCAGCATCAGCATCATCATCATCATCATCATCATCATCATCATCATCATCATCATCATCATCATCATCATCATCCTCATCCTCATCCTCATCCTCATCATCATCATCATCATCATCATCATCATCATCATCATCATCATCATCGTCATCGTCATCGTCATCAGCATCAGCATCATCATCACCAGCATCAGCACCACCATCATCATCATCGTTGTCGTCAGCAGCAGCACCTCTCCTCATCATCTGTCCTCAGCAGATATCGTCATCCTCGTCCTCAACCTCGTCTTCCTCATCATCACCATCATCGTCATCATCATCATCATCATCATCACAGTCATCATGATAATTGTCATCGTCATCATTATCATCATCTTCATCAGCATCATTACCAGCATTGAAAACATCATCATCATTATCATCACCACCACCGCCATCATCATTATCACCGTCATCATCATCATCATCATCATCATCATCATCAGCAGCATCAGCATCAGCATCACCATCGTCATCGTCATCTCCATCACCACCATCCTTCTCATCCTCCTCCCTCCTGGTCCTCCTGCCTCGCCCCTCCTTCCCATCCCTGCTCATCCTCCTCATCCTCCTCTTCTTCATCCTCCCCATCCTCTTCCTCATCCTCTTCCTCATCCCGCCCTCATCCTCTTCCTCATCCCTCCTCCTCCCTCCTACCTCCTCGGACCATGTGTGGACCTTGTCGCGGGCCCCCTGGCAAGAACGGCCCTCCTGCCAGCGGTCACAAAACAAGTCCCCTCCTGTGTTTTCCCGAGTCGCCAGCCCCTGGACTTGTTGACCCCCGCCCTGGGCCGGTTTTACACTCCCGTGGACAGGACAATTGTTCCAAGACGCACGGATATGCAATACTAATCCAGCTCCTGTGATTTGCAGCCGCCAGAGTTCTGAGCCCTCGGTTCCAAAAAATGCGCAGCATCTTCTTTTCGACCTCTCCAGAGGTCCTTCCTGACCCGTTCTTCGAGCTGCGACCAGCCGCGGCTACCAGGAAGCCTCCCCACCCCCCAACGATCCGATAACAAAGAGGAGGCGGAGGAGGAGGAGAACCAGTGTCAACCCAAGGCGCACCATGTTGCAGTAAAACCGACCTCCCTCCAAGTTCCTTATTCATAGGCCCCTGAAACAATCAGCTCTCATTGCGGGAATTGGCCCATTAGAAGACAACCTTCTGAGAATGCTCAATCGTGCCAACACCGTTTCTGGGATTTCAACGCCGCGAATCATCCTGACTGCTGCGTCCTGACAGCCCTAAGTCGTGCCAGAACAACGTTCCTGGGACTTCGACCGAGGAGGAGCAGGAGCAGGAGGCCCTCCTCCCGCCTCCTGAGCGAGGCACTGCGCTGCTGATCCAGAGGACCGGCAGCATCGACCGCGTGTGCTGGACCTCCGCTGCCCGATCTCGCGGCTAAAAAGCAGCGACCGCGCCAGGGCCAGGGCCCAGTGCCGGGGGGGGAGGGAAGCATTTTGGAATTGGCTGGGGGTCTGAGGTGACCCAGCACTGGTTTCAGCCAGCAGGGCGAGCAGGTTCGAGTTTCTGGGTTCGGGACTGTGTTTTCCTTTCTTCAGCCTCTAGGGCCCAGTTTCGCGCTCCGGGACCGTCAAAAACGGATCTGGGATGAAAATTTGCACCAGATGGACTCCGGCAGGGGTCCAGGGACAGATTTTCAGCGGGGACTGTGTTCTCCCCTTTGGTAGGGACTGTGTTCTCCCCTTTGGTGGACCACTGTCCCCTCGCTCTTCCACTTGTGCTTCCTTCATCACTCCCAGAAGATGCCCACGGAAATCACTGACGTCGTCGCTGTCGTCGTCAAAATCTGCATGGCATCAAAATCTGAGGCCGCCAGGGGCCCCAGCATCATAAGCTGATGCCGCCAGGGGCCCCAGCATCAAAATCTGATGCCGCCAGGGGCCTGGGCTTCAAAATCTGAAGCCGCCAGGGGCCGAGGCATCAAAAGCTGAGGGAGGCTGCCGGGGGCCCCGGCATCAAAATCTGATGCCGCCAAGGGTCCCGGCATCAAAATCTGATGCCGCCAGGGGCCCCGGCATCAAAATCTGAGGCCGCCAGGGGCCCTGGCATCGAAATCGGCTGTCGCCAGGGGCCCCAGCATCAAGATCTGATGCCGCCAGGGGCCCGGCATCGAAATCTGATGCCGCCAGGGGCCCCAGCATCAAAAATCTGATGCCGTGGGGGCACCCTGGCATCAATAACCTGTTGCCGTGACGGCCCAGTCGTCAAAATCAAATTCCGATAGCAGCCCTGCAGGCATCGAAATCTAATGACGCAGGCGGCCGCACGGGGCCCCTGGCATCAAAATCCGCCGACCCTGTCGGCGTGTGGAAGAGGCTTCTCCGTCTGTTCCCTTCTTCGTCGTCGTCGTCGTTCCTTCCCCTTTCCGCACAGCGTCGTTGCTTCTACCCCTCTCCCAGGGCCTCCTCCTGAAGCGTGCCAGTCCAAAGCGAAATTGAGCAACGTCGTAATTGAGTCGAAGGGAAGGCCCTTCCCTTTGAACCCTTCCCCGGCGGGGGGGGGGGGTTGTCCCGGGGTGGGTCCCAAGACGGGCCAAGAGTGCCCCAAGAGGCCCCCAAGACGATCCAAGAGGGCCCCGAATCGCCGAATGATCTGTCCAAGACGCCTTGACGGCCTCCAGACGCCCCAAGAGGCCCGCGAGACGCCCCAAGAGGCCTCCAGGACTGTTCCCACGAGAGCCCCAAGAGGCAAAAATCATGGATTTCCCATACGTATTTCAAGAATTTTGGCGTTCTCGCCTCTTCCGCTTCCCCACGCGCCAAGACGGCCCAAGAGGCCCCCAAGGTCGCCCCGAGACGGCCCAAGAGGCCTCCAAGAGAGTCCCCAAACGGCCCAAGAGTGCCCCAAGACGGCCCAAGACGCCTCCAAGACGGCACAAGAGGCCCCCAAGACGGTTCCAAGAGAGTGCCCAGACGGGGGACCTGAACGGACATTTCGAGCCTTCAGCCCCGAGAAGCTCCCAAGAGGCCCCCAGGAAGCCCCAAGAGGCCCCAAGAGGCTCCCAAGAGGCCCCCAAACATCCCACCAGAGGCCCCCGAGAGCGCTCGGAAGAAACCCCAAGAAGCACGTTTGAGGACTCAACCCACGTCAGCATCGTCGTCGTCGCTACCGCCGCCGCCGCCGTCGTCGTTCCCCTTCAGGGTCGGCGGCACCGGCCGTAAGGCCTTCGCAATCTGATGCTGCAACGGCCCCAGCATCAAAATCTGATGCCCGCGAGGGGGAGGAGGAGGAGGAGGAGGAGGAGGAGGAGGAGGAGGAGGAGGAGGAGGAGGAGGAGCAGCAGCAGCAACAGCAGCAGCAGCACCAGCAGCAGCAGCAGCACGGCCGCTGGCGGCATCTGATTTTGATGCCACGGCCCCTGGCGGCAGCAGATTTTGATAGCAGGACCGCTGGCGGCCTCAGATTTTGATGCCAGGAGCGCCCGCGGCATCAGATTTTGATGCCACTGTCCCTGGCGGCAGTAGATTTTGATGGCAGGGCCGCTGGCGGCCTCAGATTTTGATGCCAGGAGCCCCCGCGGCATCAGACGCGTCTCAGGAGAGCGCGCCAAGGCTTGCCTCTGGTGATGTCTGCGACGGGCGACCAACGCTGGGTCATTATCATCGTTGGCGTTGCTGTCGTCGTCATCCTGCCTATCGCATCACCCGTGCGTGAAACGCCGACGGAGGTATCTTCGTGCGCCCAGTTTCAAGGAGTTCAACCTTTGAGCGCTGCTCATGTCTAATTTCTCTGGCGAATTACAAATGAGACCCGCTCCAGGCCCCAAACTGGAATTGCAATTACACCGAATTAGAAATGAGACCTCTGTAGTAAAACGTACGGACTCGGCGCGAGACAACTGGCGACCGCAGCTGCCGTCCCTTCGTGTTGGGCGAGTTCGAACCTGGCGTTCAGTTTGGACGGGACGTGTCGGGTCTGTTGCCAATCGGGGCTGCGCCAGGTTAGGCCACCCCCAAGGTCAGGTTCGGGAATGGGTCGTAGCAACACGACGACGACGACGACGACGACGACGACGACGACGGCACGCCCCACAGGCTCCCCAAGACGCCCCAAACCCATGCTCCCAGAAGGCCTTCTGGGAACCCGATTCATACGGCCTCCGCCCCCTACACAACAATTTTCCTCGAAGGCCTTTCGGGATGCAGATTGGTATGCGTGGACTGTGGTCCACTACTTCAGTGGAGCAGTGAATTCGTCAAGGCCTGGGGCCTGCTAGAACCTGAGCGCGCGCGAAGCGCGCGCGATGGTTCTAGCCCAGGCCGGGGGCGCGCTAGAAGCTCTTGGACAGCGCTATCAAGCACAGGCGCGTGACATAGTCGTGCCTCCTGAGGGCCTCTTGGGAACCTCTTGGGTCTTCGTGGGGGCATCTGAAGGGCTTCTGGGGGGTTCTCCGTGCTTCCTCATTTAGCTGTTGGAGGCACCTCTTGGGTGCTTCTCGGGGGGGCCTCTCGGGGGCCTCTTGGGGGCCCATTGGGGCGGACATCTCCATTGTCAGTTCGTGTTCCCCCTCTTTGGCACCTCTTGGGGCCGTCTTGAAGCCCTCTTGGGCCGTCTTGGGCGCCTCTTGGACCGTTTGGGCGCCCTCTTGGGCTGTCTTGGGGGCCTCTCGGGGGCCTTTTGGGCCGTCTTGGGGCGATGTTCGAGGCTTCCTCGGCAATCTTGGAAGGTCAGAAGCCCGAAAACGCAGGCAAGCAACAAACATTGAACGACACAATGATATATATTGCAGTGTTCCACACGAGTTTGTATTGCAGCTCACTTGTAAAGCCGTCCACCGTATGTGGCTACCTCTGCTCAAGCCTTTTTCGTACGCGAGCCCCCGCCGGCCTCGCGACGATCAGGACTGGTGCATGGTCGTCGGCCAGGTCGCCCAGGCTGCGATCCTCGGGGCGGCGAACATCGGCGGAGCCTGGCTGGGCCGCTGCCCCGCCTGCCCGCCGCAGCCGGGGTGCCCGGCGCCTGTGCTGAGCTGCCCACCGGTCTCGCTCACTTGCCCGGCGCCCCCGGCGCCGCCGTCGCTGAGCTGCCCGCAGGTGACCTGCGCGGCGCCCTCGTGCCCGCCGTGCGAGGCGCCGGCACGCGAGGAGGCGGCGCCTTGCCCCTCGCCGGCCCGCGAGGACGCGGGCGCCGACGGCCGCGCGGGCGCCTGCCTGCCGCTGTGGGCCGTGGTGCTGATCGCGGCGGCGGCCTGGGGCTGCGGAGCCGGCTCGGTCGCCTGCCTGGCGCAAGGGTGCGCTCGTCGAGGACAACATGCTGGCCGTGGTGTCATCGTCCGACCTGGTGCCGGGGGACGTGATTCTAGTCCGCTACGCCGAGGAGGATCTCTGGCATGAGCGAGTGCTGTGCTGGGCGCTGCCCGTCGACAAGAGCGGTGCCGTGCACTGGGTGGTGGCAACGCCCGATGGGGACATGTATGCGGAGACGATCGAGGGAGGCAGTCCCGACGACAGCCCGGTGGAATGGATCCGCCCGGCGACAGACGGACGCCTCCCTGCTGGGTTCCAGGACGCCGTGTACTCCTTCCAGCGCGGCGAGATCGACGGGGCCTTCCTTGAGAAGTGCGTGAAGAAGGGCGCCACCCTGGCGTTGAAGGGCGCCAAGCAGCACGGCGAGGCCCCTGTCACCATGACCGTGGCCCGGGCGCCGGACGGCCGCAGGGTGCCGATCGAGGACGTCGTTGGCGCGGGGTTCGTGCAGCCGGCGCTCCGTGATGGCGCCCCTGACGGCGCAGACGCGGGCGGCGGCGTGGCAGCGGGGACTGCTACGCCTGGGACCGGCGTGTGGCGCGTGGTGGAAGAGGGCAACTCGTTGGGCTACGACGTGGGCCGCGAGGTGAAGCCCGTGACGGTGTACATCGGTTGCAAGGGCGTCTACTCGCCCGACGGCAAGGACGCGGTGTTCGTAGAGTTCAGTGACGAGGACGAGGCTGACTTCGTCAAGAGGGTGGCGCCGCGTCCTCCGCCCAAGGAGGCCCCGGCGCAGGACGCGCGCACGCTGGCCATCAAGTTCAGCCCGCAGGGCCGTATGCGTGACTGGCGTGATGTGGTGGATAGCTGCCAACAGGAAGACTTCGACGACTTCCCCGTGAGCGGCCCCCGCAGCATGAGCTGGTGCCTGCACTTCCTGCGGCGGCACCACACCCCCTTGGACCATCATCTGACGTTCCGCAGTACGTGCTCTCTGAAGCCTGAGCAGTGGGGGGTGGCAGAGCATGAGACCTTGCTGCGCATCATCGAGCTCGCGGGCCAGTACGATCAATTGGACGTGACGAACCTGGCGTGCATGGAGGCGGCGGCGCGCAGGGTACAGACCATCGAGTGGGCGTACCACGATAAGATCAGGGAGACCGACGCGGGGTCCACCTCGCGGTTGTCCATCGAGGAGGCCACGGCCTTCTCGGGCCTCAGCCGGGCGGGGGACCTGATGATGGTGGCGCCCGCTCTCCTAGAGCACGTGAAGTTGCAGGTAGAGAAGGGCGCGGCCATCATGAAGAACATCAGGAAGGCCAAGGGGGAGAGGGAGCTGAGGAGGAAGGACAACAAGGGCAACAACAAGGACAAGGAGAAGGGGTGAGAGCCCCCGGGGAGGAGGGGTGCCAGCATTGCCCTCCTGCCCCGACACTACCTCCTGGCATGCATCGTGCTGTGCCTGATGAAGGCTTAATTCATAGTCACCCTCCTGGGCTTGGGCCTCCCGGTTCGGATAAGCCAGCTCGGCCGCTGCGATCGGACGGCCCACGTCATCGTGACATTTTTCCTCTTCCTTATCTCGCCCGGAGTACTGCTGACATCGACGCGTCGGTCCGCTCAGCGGCTACTGGCGACGACCGACCCCGGGCCCCATGTCGGCGCGCGAGGCGTCGCATCCTGAGGCGCCAGGCCGTCGCCAACCTAGCCAACCGGGCGATCTACACCCTCAACGACCTGGCGGGCGGCGAGCGGGGGTCTTCCGTCTCGCAGCCTGGCGAGCGGCGGGCTCCGCACGTGGTAGTGCAGCGACGTGTATGCGCGGCCGCCGCGGCGATGGGCCCGCCGCCTGCTCTCTCGCCCTCGGGGGCCCTGCAGGAGCTCCGGGGGTGCACGGTGTGCGAGGACGTCCAGTCCACCGTGGTGCCCTTCGACGATATGAAGGCCTCCCTGCCGGTGAGCGGCAATCGCCCCGTTCCCTTGGCAGATCTTTTTGCCCCGTTCCCTTGGCAGATCTTTTTGGGGCCGGCGGTCAAGCTGAAGTCGACGGGTTTCTTGACTCTCATCTTCTCGAACCAGAAGCAGCCTCCTACAACCTCAAGGGGGCCCCTCGGGATACCTACATGGACGAGGTGCTTCGGAACTCTCCGCATGAATACCGGCGGCTGGTCAAGAGGCTCGAGAGGGCCGGGATGATCGACTACGCCATCCAGCCGCAGGAGTTTTGTTCGCTCTTCTTCGTGAGAAAGAAAAACGGGAGCCAGCGGCTGGTCGTCGACTGCCGCCGCTCCAACTGCTGGTTCTCGGCCGCGGACCCCGTCCAGCTCAGCGCGGGCGCTGGCCTCGGGAACCTCGAGGTGCCGGACGGGGCGCGGCTGTGCGTCGGCCACGTGGACATCAAGGATGCCTTCTACCACTTCGAGCTGCCGGAGCGCGTGCGCAACTTGTTCGCGCTGCCGGCGGTGCCGGCCTGGATGGCTGGCCTTGCTGAGGTGGGCGGCGTGAGAGTGAGCCCGGGCACCCCTGTGTATCCCCGGCTTAGTGCTGCCCATGGGTTGGTCACGAGCACTGTGGGTTTGTCAGACCTTGCATCGCCGCATCATCCAGGACATTCCGGGCCTCGAGCAGACCTCGTTTCTGCGCGACCGAGGGCCAGCGCCTGCGACCACCCCCGCGTGCCACACCGTCTACGTTGACAATTTTTTGGCGCTGGGCACCTGCCGATCGACAGTCGAGCGGCTGGTGCGTCAGGTCGATGAAGCTCTGCAGTCCTTGGGCCTTCCGACACACGAGGTAGCCGCGAGCTCTCTGGAGGAGGAGGTCCTTGGGTGGGAAATCAACGGAAGACTGGGCTTCATTCGACCGCGGCCTGAGCGTGCGTGGCGCATGCGTCTTGCGCTGGACGGCTCGCTAGAAACGAGGAAGGTGTCCGCCCGCGACATCGAGAAAGTTGTGGGGCACTGCACCTTCCTAGCCCTCCTCAGTCGGACGTCGCTCTCCATCTTCCGGTCCGTCTACACCTTCATCGCTCGTCATCGTGATCACGGCACCGTGCCGCTCTGGGACTCTGTTCGCTGGGAGCTCGAGGCCTTCAGGAACGTCATTCCCTTGATTCGTCGTGATTTTGGGGCTCCGTGGAGTTCGAAGGTTATGGCATCGGACGCTTCCTTCTGGGGCTACGGCGTCGTCTCACGCGACCTCCCTCCGGACAAAGTTCAACAACTAGGGCGCGTCAGTGAACGGTGGCGGTTCTCGGGTAAGGCTCAGGTCAGATCTCGTGAAGGGGTTCTGGGGCCTGACGGGGAGCTCGACATCGGCGACTGGGTGAAGGAGGTGGAGGAGGACAGTCAGGAGAGAGAGGGCGCCCTTTCGGATCTGCCGGAGGTCTTGAAGGAGAAGGGGCGGGCGGTGCTGATGAGCAAGAAATGGGGGGTCCCCATCTCCAACATCGTTCAGGGAGAGGCCCGGGGCCTCACTGCTGCTGTAAAACATGTGTGCCGATCTATGAAGAATTTCGGACGTCGCCACCTTTTCATGTTGGATCCCCTTACGTGCGCACTGGCTCTGTGCAAAGGACGGCCATCCGCCGTCGGCGTCTGCGCCGCGCTCCGATCCGTGGCCGCCCATGGCCTTGCCACGGGCGCGGTCTTCGCGGAACCATGCTGACGGGCCGTCGCGGGGGCTCGGCCACTCTGGATACGGAGGCGCCTCTGCTGGCAAGGTCGACGCCCGGAGCGACCGCCGCGCCGCGGGCGACTGCTGCGGCGCCGCGCGTGGGCCCGAGGTCGCCCGCGCTCACCTACCCAGCGCGGGCCTGCCCAGTGCTGGGTCGGCGACGGCCGAAGGCGTCCTCGCCGCCGAGCGCGGCGACGGCAGGCTCTTCGCCGGGCCCGCCGCCTTGGCGCCCGTCGGGCCCTGCGAGGACATGCCCGCGGCTGCTGCGCAGCGCTGCCGCCCAGCTGAAGGCGGCGCGGCGAGCGCTGCGGCTGCCGGTGGCGGCCCGACAGCGTTATGTGCAGGCTCGGTCAGTCCGGACCGAAGCGGTGCGCCGACGCTACTCGGAGTTCCTGGACGAGCTGGACCAGTGGCTCGGGCTCAGCGGCCTGAGTCGCAGGCCGTGCCCGAGCGACCGCCTGGCTGCTGGGACCGTAGACCAGTTCGACCAGGACGCGAGCGACTGGATGAACGAGCAGTACATGGAGGGCTACGACCACTGGCGCGGGTCGAACCTGATGGCGGCGATCGCCTGGGCGGACCCTCGCCTGGGCCGCGCGGGGGGGCACGGGCTTCCCCTCTCGCGGCAGGCGCTGAAGGGCTGGCGAAACCTGACGCCGGCCGCCAGCCGCCTGCCGCTGCCGGCCGAGGTGGTGTTCGCCATCGCGACGGAGCTGCTGGTGATGGACCGCTGGAGCATGGCCTTGTGCACCGTGCTGTCCCTCGTGTTCCTCATGAGGCCCGGCGATTGGAGGACGGTGCGCGTCGAGCACCTGGCGCCGCCTGCTGTGGGCGGCAGCCGCGGGCTTGCCCGCTGGAGCCTGGCGCTGCACCCCTTGGAGAACGAGGGCAGCCTGCCAGGCAAGACGGGCGAGTTCGACGAGTCGCTGCTGCTGGACCTGGACGAGGACCAGTGGCTGGCGCCGCTTTGCCGGCGGCTCGTGCTCGGCCGCGACCCGCAGGAGCCCCTGTTCGCCTTCAGCCAGGCCGAGTTCGCGCGGTGCTTCAAGATGGCCGGCGCAAAGCTGATGCTGCAGCGCCCTCCGCCGCCGTGCATCCTGCGGCACTCGGGCGCCAGCCGCGACTTCGCCGAGCAGCGCAGGACGCTGGTCGGGGTGAAGCGCCGGGGGAGGCGGCGCACGGACGCGAGCGTCAGGCGCTACGAGAAGGGAGGCAGGCTGGGCAGCGAGTTCTCCAAGCTGCCGCTCCGCCTCCAGGGCCATGCGCGCTGGTGCCTCTGGTACCTCCCCGCGGCGCTCTCCGGATCGCTGCGGCCGCGCGGGTTCCGCGCCCTCTGAGGTTGCGGATCTTCTTGGAGGTGTTCGCAGGCACTGCTCGGCTTGGCCGAGCGATGGCGGCGCAGGGTTTTCGCGTGCTTGCCTGGGACGTGAAGTATGGCGATCAGTACGATCTCACCTCCCCTTCGAAGCGCTCGCTGATTCGCGGGTGGATTCTTGGTCGTGCTATATTGGCTGTGCATTTCGGCGCCCCTTGCTCGTCGTGGTCTCGAGCGCGGGACATCCCACCAGGCCCGCCGCCGCTGAGGTCCAACGATCTCGTCATGGGGCTCGAGGGCCTGTCTGCAGCTGACCAGGCCAAAGTCGATCTGGGAAACACCTTCATGTCCTTCACAGTGTCGTGTTTGCATGTCTGTCGGAGGATGAGGATTTCGGGCACAATGGAGAACCCCGCCACCAGTAGGATTTGGCTTGCGCCTGCCGTCGTCTCCCTCGCTCGTAACCCCTCCTCTCAGGTTGTTTCAACCGATTTTTGCCAATTCGGGACGCCCTGGCGTAAAAGGACCAAGTTTTTGGGCGTCCTGATTGATTTAACCTCGATTGAAAGACTGTGTAAAAGAAAGAATAATTTGTGCTCGGCCTCTCATAGGCCTCACCAGAACCTCCAGGGTAAAAACTCGGAGGATCGGTTTTGGACAGAGGTGGCTGAACCATACCCTCCTCGGCTCTGTCGGGCGTTAGCGCTGGCCTTCTCTGATGCTCTCGTCGCGCTCAAGGCGCAAGGTATGGCCAGTCACCTCTGGTAGGTTCGTAGGTTTGAATCGTTTTCGTGCGGCCCTCCGGGCCAGTGGACAAGTAAAGTTGGCTCTCTTTTCTGTCAGTGCGGATCTGGTGGCCGGCGCCCGCTCCTATATATATATATATATATATATATAATGTGACTATATATATATATATATATATATGAATGTCGGCGCTTGCTGTCTCTCAGGTCCTGGCGGAAGTTGAGCCTCTCAGATAAAATTTGTCCCTGGTGTCGGGGGGGTGGAATACATTGCAGTGTTCCACGCGAGTTCGCATTGCAGCTCACTTGTAAAGCCGCCCACCGTATGTGGCTACCTCTGCTCAAGCCTCCCACCCGCGTACCACCCTGCTTTCACAGTGCTGCTCCCTAATGATCTGGTGGCCGGCGCCCGCTCCCAGGGCCCCCACCCCTTGCAAATTACACTGCATCCGCTTTCCCAGGGCCACGATCCCTCGTACATTACGCTGCGTCCGAGCCCCCAGGGCCCCGATCCCTTGTATTTTACGCTGCGCCCGCGCTCCAAGGCCTACGATCCTTCGTTAATTACAATGCGTCCGAACTCCCAAGGCCCCAACCCCTCGTAAATTCTGCTGCGCCCGCGCTCCGAAGGCCACGATCCCTTGCAAATTACGCGTGGTCCGCGCTCCAAACGCCACGATCCCTTGTAGATTACGCCGCGTCCGCGCTCCCAGGGCCTCCTGGGGCATGCTGGGGCGCCCAGGTCTTTCAAGTTTTGCCAAACAAGCGTTTCGCTCAAGACTTCCTATTTTTTTGTTGCGCGGGGGGCGCACCATCCAATGCTCCGCACATTTTGTTCCTAAGGAAAGCGGTGGTCTGCGGACCCCGTTATTTTTCGAGGATCCGAGATGGGGGGTCGACTATCCTCGAGCAGGCACGCGCGAAACGCATTTTGTTCACGACGGAGTCCGGAGTTCACGTCCGAAACGCGCAACGAAATGAATTAAAGTTTATTTTGTTTTTCCCCATATCCTAAGATGGGGTTCTTGTTATTACTTGGACGCCTCCTACTCCTTCTTCTCCCTCCTCCTCTTTTCTCCTCCCCTCCTGTCGGACTTACTCATACTCACACTTGCTCATACTCAGACTTACTCATACACAGACTTACTCATACTCAGATTTACTCATACTCAGACCTACTCATACTCAGACTTACTCACACTCAGACATACTCATACACAGACTTACTCATACACAGACTTACTCACACCCAGACGTACTCATACACAGACTTACTCATACCCAGACTTACTCATACACAGTATTACTCATACTCAGACTTACTCATACCCGGCGTACACATACACAGACTTTCTCATACACAGACCTACTCATACCCAGACTTACTCATACACAGACTTACTCATACACAGACTTACTCATACTCAGGCATACTCATACTCAGACCTACTCATACTCAGACTTACTCAACACACGTCAGATTTGGAGGATGTCTCAAGCGGGACGCTGGTTTCAGCACCCCTAAGGGGAGCCGCCAGGGGTGTTTGCACGGGCTCGTTCGCGGCCATTTTGTGGGGATGTCTCAGGCGGTTTGCTTGTTTCTGGGCCCAACATCCTTCGCTTGGAGAGCAGATTGTGAGGATGTCTCAGGCGGGGCGCTGGTTTCAGCACCCCTAAGGGAGCCGCCAGGGGTGTTTGCACGGGCTCGTTCGCGGCCATTTTGTGGGGATGTCTCAGGCGGTTTGCTTGTTTCTGGGCCCAACCTCCTTCGCTTGGAGAGCAGATTGTGAGGATGTCTCAGGCGGGGCGCTGGTTTCAGCACCCCTAAGGGGAGCCGCCAGGGGTGGTTGCACGGGCTCGTTCGCGGCCATTTTGTGGGGATGTCTCAGGCGGTTTGCTTGTTTCTGGGCCCAACATCCTTCGCTTGGATAGCAGATTGTGAGGATGTCTCAGGCGGGGCGCTGGTTTCAGCACCCCTAAGGGGGGCCGCCAGGGGTGTTTGCACGGGCTCGTTCGCGGCCATTTTGTTGGGATGTCTCAGGCGGTTTGCTTGTTTCTGGGCCCAACATCCTTCGCTTGGAGAGCAGATTGTGAGGATGTCTCAGGCGGGGCGCTGGTTTCAGCACCCCTAAGGGGAGCCGCCAGGGGTGTTTGCACGGGCTCGTTCGTGGCCATTGTCGGGATGTCTCAGGCGGTTTGCTTGTTTCTGGGCCCGACATCCTTCGCTTGGATAGCAGATTGTGAGGATGTCTCAGGTGGGGCGCTGGTTTCAGCACCCCTAAGGGGGGCCGCCAGGGGTGTTTGCACGGGCTCGTTCGCGGCCATTTTGTGGAGATGTCTCAGGCGGTTTGCTTGTTTCTGGGCTCAACATCCTTCGCCCGGAGGGCAGATTGTGAGGATGTCTCAGGCGGGGCGTTGGTTTCAGCACCCCTGATGGGGTTCTTGTTCCATATATCCTAAGATGGGGTTCTTGTTATTACTTGGACGCCTCCTACTCACTCTCCCTCCTCCTCTTTCCTCCTCCCCTCCTGTCGGAGTTACTCATACTCAAACTTGTTCATACCCAGACTTGCTCATACACAGAGTTACTCATATTCAGATACTCTCATACTCAGATCTACTCAACATATCCATACTCAGATTTACTCATACTCAGACCTACTCATACCCAGGCGTATTCATACTCAGACTTACTCATAGTCTGAGACTTACTCAACACACAGCAGATTGTGAGGATGTCTCAGGCGGGGCGCTGGTTTCAGCACCCCTAAGGGGAGCCGCCAGGGGTGGTTGCACGGGCTCGTTCGCGGCCATTTTGTGGGGATGTCTCAGGCGGTTTGCTTGTCTCCGGGCCCAACATCCTTCGCTTGGAGAGAAGATTGTGAGGATGTCTCAGGCGGGGCGCTGGTTTCAGCACCCCTAAGGGGAGCCGCCAGGAGTGGTTGCACGGGCTCGTTCGCGGCCATTTTGTGGGGATGTCTCAGGCGGTTTGCTTGTTTCTGGGCCCAACATCCTTCGCTTTCGGAGCAGATTTGGAGGATGTCTCGAGCGAGGCGCTCACTTTCACCCCCCAGGTGGGCCAGATTTTGAGGATGTCTCGATCGGTTTGCTTGTTTTGGTGGCCAGGCTCGTGGGCGCAGATTCTTCTCAGGATGCCACAGGAGGCCCCAACAGGCTCCAGGAGGCCCCAGGAGACACATGAGGTCCCAGGAGGCATCAGGAGGCCACAGAAAGACTCAAGAGGCCACAGGATGTCCCAAGAGGCTCCAGGAGGCCCCAGGAAGCTCCAGAAGGCCTCGGGAAACCACAGGAGGCCCCAGGATGGCCCCAGGAAACCCAGGAGGGCGCCTCGGAAGGCAACAGGAGCCCCGAGAGGCCCCAGGAGCAGGAAGGCATCAGCAGCAACAGGAGTGGCTCCAATCCCAGTGTTTTGCGTAGTGCTCCTATCGATGGGCCTCACCTTGGCGCCACGATTCTTTTGATGTTCTACGTATGTTATATAGATGGTCCTTCTCCTGGACCACAATCCTTGATAAATGTTTTACTCATGGTCCTATGTATTGGGCCTCTCCTGGGGCACGAGTCCTTGGTGTTTTACGCGTGTTCCTATAGATTGCCTTTCTCCTGTGGCTCTAATCCCTCCGTAGCCATTTTGGCTCAAGGATCAATGCTTGGGGGGCTGCAAGCCTCCTGGCATACACGGGATAGCTCTGTTCCCCGAGCTCGGCTTTCATCGGCGCGCGCGGCTCCCCTCGTTTTGGCACTTATAACACTGTGTGTGTCTCGGCCATGGCACCTCAGTGGCAGTGCGCTTGTGGAGAGTACCTCGCGGCCGATCGCACCCGTTGCACGAAGCCTGGTTGCGGCGGCATGCGACCTCGCCTTCCACGTGGAGCTGGGCAGCCCTGGCAGCAACCTTGGCAGCTTCGTCAGCCTCCCGCCCGTGGTAAGTGGGCTGACTCGCCGCCGAGCAACCAGTGGGGTCACAACGGCAAGCTGTTCAGGGGCAAGGGTGCTGGTGGCGGCAAGGGCTCCACGGGCACCACCCTCAGCGCGGAGCAGGTCAAAGTGTGGGCCACGTTCGACCAGGAGACGTGGGAAGCGACTAAGGTCACCCTCACGCAGTCCTCTCGCGGGAAGGTTGAGGCTGCTCGTCGCGCTCATTCTCTCGGTCTGGTGGGGAGGTCAGCACCTCAGAAGGTGGGCGGAATTGCTCGCCAGCTCGCGGATGCCCAAGGTCGGCTTCAGCGAGATTCGGAGGTGGCTCGCAAGGCGTTGGAGCAGGTGCACACGACGAAGGTGCTCATCGCGCAGCTGCAGCAGGAGCTCGCGGAGGCCAAGCGAGAGGCGGCCGCGCTCTTCGGCGGTGGCATCAGCCCCGACGCGATCAAGGAGAAGCTCGGCTCGCTCAACACCGACGGTGTCTCTGGCCGGGACCTCCTCGAGCAGCTCTCCAATATGGTCAACGAGCTCGCCGGGGAAGCGAAGGCAGCCCGCCCGCAGGGCGGGGTTCCCGTCGCAGGCGGCGGAGCCGCGCCTGCCCCCGAGCCAGCAGCCGCCCATCCTGGCGGAGGTGGGGCCGCAGCGGCACCCGCAGGCGCGGCGCCAGCAGAGGACGGCGCGGACTTCGACGACTTCCTGGGCGGGGAGGATCCTGGTGGGCTTCTTGGCGGCTGCGGCGACGACGACGAGCAGCGCAAGAGGACCCGCGATGCCCTGGAGGTCCTGCGGTCCGCCGAGAAGCCGCGGACCACAGGGTAGCCACCCTCGCGGGCGCTGGTGGACAGCTCTCTCCATCAACGCCAACGCGTACAGCAGGTTCGAGAGCTTACTCGGCTACGAGAGTCTCAGGAATTGCGACCTCGTCGCGGTCCAGGAGACGCACTTGTCTCAGGAGAGGTGCTGCGAGGTCACCGATAAGCTGCAGGGGCGGGGCTGGCATGCTATTGCCACGCCAGCTACTGACGTCTCTGTTGGGCATGCTGGTCGCGGCGGCCTCCTGCAGCTGGCGCCCAGGTCCTCGGGCCTTGGCGAGTTTGAGGCTGGGCAGCCGACGGTGCTCGCGCCAGGACGCGCGGCCGTCGCGCATGTAGCAGGCCCCTTCCCTGGGGGCCTGGCTTGGATCAACGTCTACTTGAAGGTTGGCGAAGGCCTCTCGGCTTACAACCTCGGCATCTTGGACGGCATCGCGATGGCGATTCGCGCCATCGGCAAACCCTTCGTGATCGCGGGGGACTTCAACATGGAGCCCCACGAGCTCCAGTGCTCTGGCTTCCTCGAGCGCGTCGGAGGCAAGGTGGTCTCGCCAGCGGACGGTGCCGTTCGGCCATCGGGCAAGGTGATTGACTACTTCGTTATCTCACACGTGATCTCGGAGGCGCAAGCGGAGATCAAGCTAGGTTGGGATCTCTCCCCTCACTTCCCTGCCGAGCTCAAGTTCAACGCGAGCTCGGTCAACAGGTACATACAGGTCATGAAGGCCCCCGAGAAGTTCCCGTACCCTCTACCCAAGGCGTGCTGCACCGAGGACCACTCCCAGATGTGGGCGGAGGCGCGTGGCCGCATGGCGGCTACTTCCTCGCTGGACAGCATGCGGCAGACCTTCATCCACTGCGCCGAGTGGTACTTGCTGGACGCCATCGGCCTAAAGCACGCGTACCACGAGTTTGCTGGACGTGAATGGCGGCCCAGGCTAGCCGTAGTCGAGGTGCTGAAGCCGTCGGCGCCCAGGTTGCCGAGGATGACCGACACCGCCTCCTGGGGCAAGAGCGTGGCCATCGCGCTCAAGGACGCTGCGCAGATCAACCTCGTGCTGAAGAGGTTTGGGGCGCTGAAGGCGCTCGATCGTTTGTGCAGGGCCCAGCCCGATTTTCGGGCTGACTCCAGGCAGGAGACGGCGCAGGCTCACATTACCTTGCTGGGCTTTGCGCGGGCGGCGCAGTTCATGGATCTGCCCCAGCTGCAGGTCGCGAGCTTCATCGCCACCACCATGGCGGACAAGCTGGTGCAGCGGGGCGCTGACAAGGCGAAGGCTGGCTTCGCAGAATGGATCGCCGAGAATCACGCTAGAGGTACGGGGGCCCTCCACTCCTGGACCAAACCTCCGCAGGGCTGGCAAGCTAGGCCCTCTGGGGACCCTGGGGGCGAGCCTAGGACGCTCTCGCAGACGGTCCAAGCCCTGGTGAAGGAGTGGTCAGGGCATTGGGGAGTGGGGGCCCCCACGCCGCTGGGGGGCGAGCTCGCGAAGGCGCCGCTCGAGTGGCCAGCAGATCTTGGCGAGCGCCCTGCCCGGCCTTCGGTGGGCGAGATCAGGGCGGTCATCGCCACCTTCAGGGGCTCCAGCGGCTCGTTAGTCGACGCGCTGCGCCCGCGCGAGCTGGGCGTGCTCGACGACGCTGGGATCGAGGCGCCATCGACTTACTGGTCGCCGTCGAGCTTGCACCGCGACTGGGCCTCCTTCATCACAACAGCTGGCCTTCAATCCCGAAGTCGGGACGGGGGCCTCCGCTCCAATCGCGCCTGCTGGGCGCGGTGGTCCGCATCCACGGCAGGCTCCGCAGGGGCATCGGCGAAGGCCTGGGATGCGTTCCCACGACAGGGATACTGGTGGGCCAGCTCGGGCAAGAGGCTGCGACCCTGGCAGTGTGCAAAGGCATGGTGAGCGGCAACATGGGTCCAGATGGTGGGCGGAGCTGAACCAGGGTCAGGACTGGGCCTCGGCGTCGATCATGATGGACTTGTGGAAGGCTTTCGAGCAGATCCTGCACGGCAACCTGGTGCAGGCGTGTGTCCAGCACAACTTTCCACTGTGGCTGGCCAAGCTGCAGGTCTCACTCTACCGTCTCCCAAGGGTTATCAGCCTGGAGACGTGCTGCTCTGACGAGCTCACGGTTATGCAGACGGTGCTGGCTGGGGATGCTTTCGCCACTACCTTCATGAAGGTCATGCTCCTCTCGCCCCTCGACGAGATGAAGATCGCCTGCCCGACGGTGGTCCCCGCTGTCGTGGTCGACGACGTCGTGCTGCAGCGCTGGGGGGGATTAAGCGCGTAGCCAAGGACCTCACCATGGCTGCCAAGGCGGTGGTATTAAAGGGGCTGGCGAGGTTTCACCTCGGTACGCTGCTGTCAAATGTTCCATGCGTGCTGGCCAGCAGAGGCCTTTGGGCCACTCTCCAGAAGCACCTGGGTTCGACCACTGGGGCCATCGGAGTCAGAGAAGTGCGCAACCTCGGCATCGACTACACGGAGGGCGGCAGGCGGTCCAGCGTCGTCAGGCGGCACCGCATCACGCAGAACAGACTCCGCCTTCCTCGGATCCGACGGCTCCTGGGTCTACGCAGAGGAAGGGCCACAGCGGCTAAGATCGTATCAACTGGGCTGGCTCCCAGTCTCTTCTACGGGATCAACTGCACGGGGCTCAACAATACGGAGCTGCAGCAGGCGCGTAGCATTGTGCGGCACGCCATTGGGCCGAACCCCCATGGGAAGTCGCTCACGGCGTGCTTGCTGGTAGGGGGCTCCCCCACCATCGACCCTCTCTTTGCAGCGACGCTGGCGCCCTGCTTCACGCTGGCGCGCGCTGTGTGGGAGAAGTGGGTGCCGCTGGCGCAGCTCAGGCAGCCTGCGAGTGGGCTGCGAGCCTCGGCCATATGTGGGGCTGATGTGCGTGGGCGATTGGGCGGTCGGTATGTCGCTGAGGAGGATCCCGCGCTACGACCCCAAGACGCATGGACTGCATTGTTCAGGCCGAACGGATTTGCGATCATCAAACTGCTCGGAGGTTTCCCCATGGTAAGCAAAGCAGTGTATCCCGCCTGGATGTGAGTCGTGGAGATGAAGCTACTGGCCTCCTGGCGCTCACGATTGACGTTCCAAACCCAGCGCGCCCATACTCGCAGTTGCGGCGCTGGTTTTCCAAGGGCGTGGGGAGCTCTAACCCGGCGAAGGACTGGGAGCCCCTCAACAGCAGCCAGCGGGGGTACGCGCGCTCGGTCTTTGTCCTCGGGCAGTGGCCTAACAGCAGGAGGTACCACGGAGCCCCAAGGATCGCCCATACGCCATGCTGCCAGCTGCACCCTGGCCAGCCTGGCACCCTCTGGCACAGGCACACGGCCTGCCAGGACAGCTGGCCGAGCCTGACGCTCCCTGCCGAGGTCAGCGAGCTTGTTCCCTTCAGCACCAGCGTGACCATTACTACCTTGCTGGAGAGGCTGGTCTTGCCCGAGCCCCTTCACGCGTGGCGTCATCCAGGCGACGACCTTCTCGCGCACGTGCAGTGGATCAAGGGCGGCGACGGGTTCCCTTTTTCCGACACCACGGTCTACTCGGACGGAGCGGTCTACGAGGCTGGGAGCTCGCTGGCGGTGGGGGCATGCGGCATGGTGCAGCTGCCTGACGGCGACGACGACTGGGACCCAGGACCCGAGACGGCCGTCAAGGCTTTGGGCACGCCATTGCCTGGGCCATTGCAGTCCATCGACGGGGCCGAACTCCTGGGGTGCTTGGTGCTCCTCCGCCACAGCCTGCCACCTATCACTGCGGCCTTCGACGCCTCGTACGTCACCGAGGGCCTGTTGGAGAGGGGCGAAGCCAGCACTACCAAGGCGACCTCTGCCTGGGGGTGCGTATTGAGGCGCGTCTGGGCAGCTCTTGGCGACTTCGGTGGCATTGGGCCCCAAGGGCTCACGATTCAGAAGGTGAAAGCGCACGCCACGTCGGCCACGGTCCGTAACGGAGGCATCACTGCCCGCGACAGGCGAGGCAATTGGGAGGCCGACCGCACGGCGAAGGTGGTTGCAGCAGCAGTGAGGGCGCCGCTGGAGCTTCGCGAAGCCTGGCAGCGGCGCTCGCTCACCCTCGACGGAGTTGTGCGCTGGGTTGCGCGTACGGGGTGCGAGGCAGCTGACCTGAAGCTGGACATCGACCCGAACTGCAAGCCGATTCCCAAGGGGCCTCCGCTCAGCGTCACAAGGCACAACGTTGTCAAGGTGGCGAGAGGTGGAGTCCACTGCAGGGCCTGCCTCAAGACGGCGTACACGGACCTCAGCATCAAGCGGCTGCTCAAGGATTTCCGTGTGTGGGGCAGCCGTTTGCGCCCGTGGCAAGCGGGCGAGGAGCGCAAAGCCTGCTCGTCGGCGTTGTTTTCTGCAGGTGCTGGGCTGTGGCGCTACGACCGGCTTCGCAAGGGCTCGAGCAGGAATCTCAGACGCACAGGGCGACGCTGAGCTCGCGGAGGTCCCCGAGCCCGAAGCTCCAGCAGGCTGCGCCGGAGCCCCGTCGGCGCCGCTCGCGACCTCACCAGCTGCGGGCACGCGGGCGCATTGCGACGCCCTCGCCCGGCTGGCGGAGGCAGCAGCAGCAGCAGCAGCAGCGGCCAGGACCTCTCGCCTAGTGCGGCCCTCATGCGTGCGGTGGCCGCCGCCCGTGCTGCGCGCGAGGCTCAGGGCGTGCTGCGCGCGAGCCCCGCCGACGGCCAGGTGGACGCAGGCCCCGCGGTCGCCCAGGACGCCATGGAGGTGGACGAGCCTGGGGGATCAGGCACCCAGGATGCTGAAGGAGTGGGCCACGCGCTCCTCAGCATCAACGGATTCAGGATCTGCACGCGCTGCAAGGCGTACGCAAAGGAGATTAACGGCAAGCACAGGACGCTCGGCAAGACGTGCGTCGCAGCCTCAGGCAATGCGCTGCGCCTGCGCAACCTGAAGGTCGCCAATATCAGGGCAGGCTTGGACCCAAAGACGGGCAAGCGCCTGAGTGAATGAGTTGGGGAGTGCCTTCGGTGGTCTGAGCCTTTTCAGGCTCGGCACGGGGTGGATGGTGGCTCGTGTGGCTGCCTCACCTGACGGCGCACACCCACGCGGCGCGGCGTGCGCGCTGCTTCTTGGAGGCCGCTGTTTGCGGGCCTCCTTGCCGCATTTTGCGGCTCTCGCCATCTTGGCGGCAGGATCGGTTCGTGCTGCACGGGCTGCCTTGTCATTAAAAAAAAGTGGCTCCAATACGCAGTGTTTTTGTACGTCGGTTGCTATAGATTGGGCCTCTCCTGGGGCACGAAAGCTTCCTAGGAGGTCCCCAGGAAGGTTTCCAAGAGGCCCTGGAGAAGACCCAGGGAGCCCAAGAGGTTTCCCCAGGAGCGCCCAGGAGGCCCCAGGCTCATGCAACAGAGACGCGCTCGTCTTACTGAGGCTCCTCACACTCCAACTCATTCGCAGTTAGATTGAATTGGAGTGTGGTCAAACTGAAGCCGTTAATATTCCGAAAAGCCTCTTGCGGCCTAGAATTCACGGCGGACAGTCCATGCGAGTAGATGCACGTATGGGGGGCTCCACGCAGTGAATAATTTCTGGGCCCCAATCCTTCGCTTGGAGAGCAGATTGTGAGGATGTCTCAGGCGGGGCGCTGGTTTCAGCACCCCTAAGGGGAGCCGCCAGGGGTGGTTGCACGGGCTCGTTCGCGGCCATTTGTGGGGATGTCTCAGGCGGTTTGCTTGTTTCTGGGCCCAACATCCTTCGCTTGGAGAGCAGATTGTGAGGATGTCTCAGGCGGGGCGCTGGTTTCAGCACCCCTAAGGGGAGCCGCCAGGGGTGGTTGCACGGGCTCGTTCGCGGCCATTTTGTGGGGATGTCTCAGGCGGTTTGCTTGTTTCTGGGCCCAACATCCTTCGCTTGGAGAGCAGATTGTGAGGATGTCTCAGGCGGGGCGCTGGTTTCAGCACCCCTAAGGGGAGCCGCCAGGGGTGGTTGCACGGGCTCGTTCGCGGCCATTTTGTGGGGATGTCTCAGGCGGTTTGCTTGTTTCCGGGCTCAACATCCTTCGCTTGGAGAGCAGATTGTGAGGATGTCTCAGGCGGGGCGCTGGTTTCAGCACCCCTAAGGGGAGCCGCCAGGGGTGGTTGCACGGGCTCGTTCGCGGCCATTTTGTGGGGATGTCTCAGGCGGTTTGCTTGTTTCTCGTGGCACTATCCTCCAACATGACATGCAGTTATGGCTTTGCGTGGCTAAACGCTCGTCTTACATATCCCACTGCCAACTATCTTACAACATATGCACATGTGGGAAGCTCCAAAGCTACCACGGGCTGAAAAAGGGGAAGGCCTGGCAGCTGAGGAGGGGGGATGAAGAGGAAGAGGCTCGCATTCAACCATACTCAAAGCTCACTCTGACTCATACGCAATCACTCGCATTAGGGGTCACTCGTCTTCGTCGGCCCTGTCGCCCACGTGGACGCGCTATTGTAGTCGACCGCTCATGAACAGACGCTCACCACGGCATGACATAGAACATGAGATGCACGTATGGGGAGCTCCACGCAGTGAGTAATTCATCGAGCGGAAATCCGCTGGCCTCCTTCAAATCAAATCCGGGGGTAAACCAACTTAAGGAGAACCTTGGGCCCCCGCCCTTTCCGGGAAAAACAATTGGGAGGTTCCCCGGAGGTTGTTCTAACGAGCTGGCAATTGCGGGCTCCAGAATTTCAGGGGGGGCAAAAACATGATCGATCCACGAACCCGGAAAGGAATATAGAAATGTAAGGCATGGCAACGTTTCAGAGACACTTGATTGGGCGACGGGCAGATGCAATGCTGAACGTATCGATTTTGATGTACCGTGCCGAGGGCTGTGCTGTGCTGCACCGTGCTGAACTGCGATGTTCCATGCCGCGATTGTGCTCTATATAGCGTTGTGGATCGAGACTTCCCTGGCATCAGAGTCCTGACCGAACTGATATGGATCTTAAGCTCGAGCTGCCTGAGCAGATGGTAGCTGCCCCTGAACTAATCGACAGGGGGACATGCCAGGAGGACGCGCCGCGGAACGTCCCAAGGGACGCGCCAGGCGACGTGCCAGGGGACGTGCCATGGGCACGCACCGCGGGACGTGCCAAGGGGACGCGCTACGGAACGTGCCAATGGACGTGCCGCGGGGCGTGCCAGGGGACGCGCCGCGCGACGTGCCAGGGGGACTCGCCAAGGAACGCGCCAAGGAACGTGCCAAGATGCAATGTTGAATGTATCGATAATGATGTACCGTGCCGACGGCTGCGCTGTGCTGGCCGTGCTGAACTGCGATGTGCCATGCCGCGATTGTGCTCTGTATAGCGTTGTGGATCGAGTCCTCTTTACATCCGAGTCCTGACCGAACTGATCTGGATCTTAAGCTCGAGCTGACTGAGCAGATGGTAGCTGCCCCAGAACTAATCGACAGGGGGACATGCCAGGAGGACGCGCCGCGGAACGTCCCATGGTACACGCCAGGCGACGTGCCAGGGGACGTGCCATGGGCACGCACCGCGGGACGTGCCAAGGGGTCGCGCTACGGAACGTGCCAATGGACGTGCACCGAGCGACGTGCCAGGGGGACTCGCCACGGGAGGCTCCGCGGAACGTGCCAGGCAATATGCCAGGCTGCAAAACCTGGACACGTGCAAACAAGCGTCTCGATCGAGACTTCCTCGACACATCCTCATGCTAGACATCCGCCTGGGCGACGTGGACACGTGAAAACAAGCCTCTGGTTCGAGACATCCTCAACAAATCCTTATGCTAGACATCTGTCTGGGCAACCTGGAGGCGTGAAACCAAGCGTTTTGCTAGAGACATCCTTAAGACATGTGCACGTGAAAACAAGCATTTCACTTAAGAGATCCTCTGAATTCAGGCCCCCAGGAGAGAACAATCTATAACACAAAACAAGCGTTTCGCTCGAGACATCCTCAGCATATTCTGAACAACAAGCGTTTCGCTCGAGACATCCTCAAACATAATTCCGCCGGCCCACCTCGACCTCGATATTTACCAGGGAATAACTCCGCCGGCCCACCTCAAGTCAGGTCCGGGGGTAAACAGCTAAAAGAGAACCCTGGGCCTACGCTCTTTCCGGGAAAATAACTGTAGTTTTCACCCCCGGAAAACACCCCGCACAATCTTCAAACAAAAACGCAGAGTTGTTTTTTTGTCGCCACCCCTCCCGCTTTCCCCCCCTTCCCCCCTCCCCTCTGCCGAAAGCGCCCGAAAACCTCCGAGTTGGAGTGTTCTACGGTGTTCCGACCTCCGGGAAAACCGAAGAAAACAACAGAAAAAAAAACGCATAGTTCGGGGGTGGTTCGGGGTCTGCCCCCCTCCTTGGGGAAATGCTTATAAAAACACAGCCGAAGCAAAAATATAGTAATCTGTAGATGTGGTTTCTCCCAGTCCCTGTGTAGCATACCGGTCTGCATCAGTGTTGCTGTCACTGCAACTGTGATGGCTCAAGTTCTGATGTGGGGGTGGGCTCCAGCCATCCTTGCGGCTGCCAGGGATCTCACCACCCTTGGCCTTCACTATCAGACCGCGGCGATTGCCGCTCAGTGCCCGAGTCTGCCCGCGATCCCTGCCTGCCCCGAGCTGGTGTGCTCGTCGGGGCCTCCGCTCCCGGCCTGTCCGGCTGCGCACTGCGAGTGCACGTGCCCGAAGCCGGAGGCGGGCAGCTGGCTGCTGCTGCTGGGCGCGGGCGTGGCCACGGGCTGCGCACTGGCTGGGCTGGTGCTCGGCGCGGCTGTCGGGCTCTACGTCGGCCGGCTCGCGGCTCGCGGGGCGGGTGCTCCTGCGTGTCCTCCCGAAGCTCTGCGTGACGCTCCAGTGGCGGAGCCTGCTGCGGGGCCAGAGGCTGCGAGGGCGCTGGTGGTGACGCCAGCGTCGAGGAGAGATGCCGGCCAGGCCGCGCTCGCTTGACATACGGGAGCCTCAGATCGTCGTGAACTTCCCTCTGGATGCTCTTCCTTGGCATCACCGAGTGCTGCTGCATGCCATGGGCGACGGGCGCTGGATGTGCCTGACGCCGGATATGGAGATCACGCAGCACAACTTGAATGAGCTGCGCCACTATGTCCTCGATCGGAATGCACAGTTTCCTCGGTGGGTGCTGGCTGGTCTCTATGCCTTCGACCCCATCGACCCTGGGGAGCTGCTTGAGCTGAAGCGCCAGGCCCGGCAGCGCGCGGCGCTGCTAGGGGCTGGCGACCCCGAGGATGAGGCGGACCTCGCCTCGGTGATCGCCGAGCCGCAGGACGCGAGGTTCGGCGAGGTGGTACCCGAGGATGTGGTGGAGAACCCGAATCGGTGTGCCCACCTGCGCAGGAAGGGCATCGTGGTGCTGGATGGCCAGGAGCGGATGATCGAGCTGATCAGCCGCGACGAGAGGGACGACTGGATGAAGGAGCGGAAGGAGAGCTGCGTCGACATCCGCCTGAACGGCGACCAGCGGACGAAGATCGGCCGCAGGGACGTGGACTTCCGTGACGCCGTAGAGCAGATGGAGCAGGTGGAGCTCGCTGACTACACCGACCTCGGGCCACGCGCGATGGGCGAGTTCATCACGTCGGTGGCCGTCGGCAGTGGGAACCTCACTAGCTACCAGGCCGAGTGGGAGCGTATGAGCGGGGTCTTCTCAGGGGGTGCTCAATGCCATGAACACCGTTCGCTCCTGGAGATCGCCCGCCGCGCGATCTGTATGGGCCAGCTCAACGTGAAGAACCTCCACTGCGTGGAGGCGCTGGTCAGGCGGTTCATTCAAATCGAGATGGCAGTACAGCGTAACCCACGGCATCCAGACTTCTCTGGTCTTGAGGATGCCGTCGGCGGGCCCACAGGTGCGACGGGCTCTGCCGCCGTCCCGAGGTGCACGGAGTTTGCGGTGGCCCGCCAGAAGGACCGCGCCAACATTTTGAAGCAGATGAGGTTGCACAAGGAAGAGCTGGATCGGGAGCGCCCTTCGGACGACGGGGGGAAGCGCAACCGGAAGGACAAGGAGAAGGACAAGGGCAAGAAGAAGAAGGGTGGCCCCCCGGGCGATGGCTCGGGGGGCGGGGAATGACCGAGTTCCCCGGCGCTCACCAGCAGGGCTCTGCCGCGCCTGATGACGGTGGGCGCCCTCGACGTGGAGCTAGAGGCCAGACCAAGTCTGAGTGGTGGCCTCGCGGACAGTGGCTTCACAACGACCCTTTTCCCTTGCCCCAGGTGGCCATTGACGCAAGGCCGTCTGGCGCCCCTCGCTCCACTGTGCGTCGGTGGAGAGTCAGGACTGAGAGGCAGCGACGAGTTTCAGAAGCGGTTGGCATGCTCCACTACCTCGCCGCCTCACGTGTGAATTCAGGATGCGACAAAGCTCGACGAGTTAGGCCGTACGGGGGGGGCCCCACAGCAGTGCAGCGCAGCGCGCTGGAGTCAGTCCAGGAGCGGATCGACTTCTATGGGAACCCCTCGAGCGAAGCGGTGGACGGCGAGAGGTCCCTCCGGGAGATCCTCAGATCCACTGACCAGTATGACCTGGAGCCGCAGCATTTGGCGAGCTACGACGTCACACGCCTCAGGGTGTGCAAGGGGGACATCAACTCGGTTCCCGTGACGGATTTGCTACCTGCCGAGGCTGCAGGTTTTTTGAGACACTTCCAGAGCCAGATCGAGCTCTCAGAACCCGAGATCGCCGAGCGTGTCCGAGAGGCTGGGGGGATGCCCGAGCCGTGCTGGGATCCTCGGCTTCGCGGTGATGCTGAGCTTCGACGTGACTTTTTTCGCCGACTTGCTAAGATCGGCATCGTGGGTTTTAGGCGGGCCATCAAGTCCCGCTGCGGCGCGTTCTTCGCACACAAGAAGGACGGCAACATCAGGTTCATTTGCGACGCGAGGGCGACGAACATGTGCCATCGTCTCCCTCCTCGGGCGGTCTTGGGAGGTGCAGCTTGCCTCTCGGAGATCGACCTCAGCGGCTACGCTACGGCTCTGGGGGGCTTCGGTGGCGTCTGTGAGCCACGCTTCTCGGGCGCCGACGTCAAGGATTGTTTTTACCAGCTCGCCAACGAAGAGATGGGCAGCTGGTTCGGGTTCGACTCCGCGTTGACCATCGAAGACTGGGACATGGGCATCACGCGCGTGTGGGACGACGATGTGGGGGACTGGACCCCCGCCCGGGCGGGCGAGCTCCTGTTCGTTCCCCTGCCTCCGTGTTTTACCGATGGGCTGGGCCTGGGCGTTGTACTTTGCCCAGGAGGCCGTCGCGCAACAGGTTTGGCGCTCTGCTGCAGATGGAGATCGGCGCTCCTTCGAGACAAGCGACCTGCACCCCTCCTGCGCCCCGGGAGGCCGTTGGCCGCCGTGTACGTGGACAACTTCACGGGCGTGGGGGGCTCGGCCGCCGACGCCGAGCTCGGGGTGCGGGCCTTCGAGGAGCGGGCTGCCGAGGCGGGGCTGGCTCTGCGCGCCGCGGACGTGGCGGTGGAGGAGCTGGAGAGCTTGGGCCTGGTGCTGTGCGGGACCGACCGCCGCGTGCGCCAGAGGCCCAAGCGGGTCTGGCGCTTCTACTTCGCCACGAAGGCCTTGCTGAAGCGGGGCCACGCGACGGGGGCCGAGCTCCGCGTCTGGGCGGGGCATGCCGCGGCCCTCTTGGGGCTGCAGCCCTGCTTGCTGTCCATCTTGCAGGACGTCTACCACTTCATCGGCGACGGCAGCCGGCGGCGGGCGGCGTTTCCTGCGACGGTCCGCGGGGAGCTCCGCATGGCCGCCATCGCCTGCTTTTTGACCGAGGTCGACCTGGGCGCGCCTCTCGCCGACGAGGTCCACGTTTCGGATTCGTCGTCCTCCGGCTTCTGCCTGATGTACGGGCGGAAGCCGCTTCGTGCTGCGTGGGATGCGCATCGCTGGCGGGGGCGCTGGCGGTTCGTGGAGGTGGAGGCCTGGTAGGGCCGTGGAATGCGCACAACCCGACCCCGAGAGTTCCCCCAACAACATAAATGGCATCGCGCAGGTTTCCTCAACTTGGGATTTGGTATCACGAGGGTGTCCTCAACCAGGGGGGCTTGCATCCTTTTCTGATCGCACGTTGCAGGTGGCTCCGTTTACCTGCGGTCGGTCAGCTTCGGGGAGCTTCTGGATGACGGCAGCGGCTGCGCATCAGGCGCTGCTATGCAAGGCGGTTCGTCTGGCGCCCACGTTTTGACGGGCGCTTGAGATCGGCCCCGCGTTTCGTTCGCGCGCGGGCGCAGTCCGCGTCTCCCAGTCTTACGTTTTTTTGGCGTCGTGCCTGCAATTTTGGTGGGTGGCATGGTGGGTATCGATCGAATCGGTTTGTGTCGGCCGTCCCCCATCGGCCTCGCTCAGTTGAGCTTGGATAGATTTCGGCTGGGGTCGGTCGGTGTCGGTTTGCTTCGATCGGTTTCGGTCGTCCTTCGATGGCGTCGGTCGATCTCAATGGTTCTGGGACGCGGCTGCGCGAGTCCGCGGTTGAGCGAAACCGAGCGACCGATGCCGAACGAGGTCGACCGAATCATACATACGGCGGCAGAAAACAGTCGAGACCGATCCAGACAGCTGAGACCCGTTAGGACCGACCGAGATTGTTTAGGCCTTTTCGATGCTGCGCCCGCCCGGCACGCAGTTCGCGGGGCGGAGCGGTTCCCAGCGCGCCCGCGCATTCGATCTCGGTTCGTGGGCGGGGAAAGACTTGCTAGACATGCCACGCGGGGCGTTGCTCTCGGCCGTCGTAGCCCCCTTTGTTTTTGACGGCGCCTCTGGGTTTTACCCAGGTTCGCGGGCTCACTTACTATTTCGCGTTGGCGAAGTGACGGGTTCATGTTAACAAACATTCGCCGTGCGCGTGTCGAACGTCAGTTTTCGACTCGGCTGCAGTTTGCAGAGAAATCAACGTCAATCGTTCGTTGGAAATGTCGCGCGAACAGCGCCCATACTTTTTCTTTTTTTCCCCCGCTGCGATTTTGTTGGGAAGTGTAATAAGATTGGCAAGTTGTTGCTGGCGTTGTTCGGAACACCCCGAACGAACGTTGCGCAATTTACCAATATCGACGCGAAATTGGGCCTCGGATTGCGTGGGCGAATTTGCGCCGACGCTAGCGTCACGTCGGGCAGCCCAATCAGCGCTTGCACGTAAGGGACTTGGCGTTTCATGGTGAACGATGGGGCTCCGCCGAGGTTTTGCATTGTTGCCGCCCGCGTTGCCTTGCTCGTGCCTCGTGTCCACCTCGCGCTGGGTTGGGTCGCCGTGGTTCCACCGCTCTGTCGCGAGTGCCGCTTCGTTGGCGCCTCGCGGGCGCCTCGTGGGCGTCCCGGCGCAGGCCGGGTCCGCCAACGTTTCGCCGCGTTCCCGCTTACGCTGCCGCGCGGGCGCCTCGCGGGCATTTCGCGCGGGTCTACCGGAATGCGGCCGCGGTGCCGCTCGCGCCGAGGCGCGGAATTTTGTTCAAAGAATTATCCCTCCCTCCCTCCCTCCCTCCCTCCCTCCTTCCGCCCTTCCCTGATTTCGGTTTTCCTTCCTCCCCTCTGTCCTTCCTCCCATCGCCTTTTCCTGCCCTCCCTCCCTCCTTGCTTCCCTCCCTCCCTCTCCCTCCCCCCCCCCCCTTCTGCCGCTCCCCCCATCGTCCCTCACCATCCCCCTTCCTCGTTCCTCCCCTCCCCCTCCTCCGTCCGCCCTTCCTTCTCCCCCCTCCTCCTGTGTTAATCAACAGCAGCCTCATTGCAGGAGGCATGGCACGCGTTGGTCTTTGGGAATCTGCTTCGAGGGATTCGGGTTGTCAGTTAGCCGCAATACCTCCTCGGTTCGTCCTGGACGCTCGCGCGTTGGCTCGCTGGTGCGGATCGTTTCCGCCTCGCCGTCGACGAAAAGCTTATCTTGCGTATTGTGTACTGTTGTCGGCCTTCATGTACTCAACGCTGCAGGGCCTCATTGGGCATGTAACCAGCCTCCGTGGCGGTCGCGGTGCCAGGGGATCCTCTTGAGGCGGGGGGGGGGGTCGGGATGTCAGTTCCTGCTCCTGCTCTTGAGCCATCTTGGGGCGTTTTTGGGTTCTCAGAGGCCGTGCTGTGACATCCTCGAGCTGCCAGGGAGCTTGTCTGGCCGTGTTGGAATCCTCTTGAACGCCTCTGGGCCGTTTGGGAGCCACGTTGGTAATTGGCGTGGCTCTCTGGTAGCGCTGAAGACCAGAAGTAACACGAATGCCAACGTAAGGTATGGAATGACGCGGTGGGTTCTCATCTGCGTGCTGCTCGTGCATATCTTAGGGGTTTCTTCGGGACAATTTCGAGGCGTAGTGTTGCCGCCCTGAGCTATGTTAGGGGACATCTTGGGCGCATTGGGGCGTTTCTGGGTTGTCTTTGGGCGCGCCTCAGGCACTTTATGCGAACCTCGGGGTTCCCATGGCCCGTCTTGGGATATCTGGCTTTGGGGAAGTTGAGGCGGAGGAACCCAAAGGTTTGCAATGGCGCCGAACATTTTTGAATGCGCGGAGCGCGCGCCCGTGGCTGCAAGCAGCGCGCATTTGAAAACAGGGCGCGTTGCGCCCCAGAACCTTGGGAAACACCAGAAGCCGCATTTCCAGACACCGTTGAGGTTCCGTTTGGCGTACGCGAAATCCGGTCGAGGCTTGTTGTCTGTTTTTTTCACAAGCAAAACGGCCCGGTTGATAGCAAGTTGGCTGTACACGCGGTTTGGGGCCAGGCTGGTTGATACCAAAACCGAAGTGGTTGATACCAAAAAAAGCATGGTTGATACCAAAAACAGAGTGGTCGATACGAAACGCCGCAATGCTTGATACCAAAAAAAGAGTAGTTGATACAAAAAAAGATGGTTGATACCAAAAAAAGAGTGGTTGATACCACGGATTTGGGTTGAGCGACGGCACGTGGCATCAACCAAAGAATTTGTATCAACCGGCGGAAAAGTGGTATCAACCGGCGAAAAAATGGTATCAACCGGCGGAAAATTGGTATCAACCGGCGCGAACGTGTGGTATCAACCGGCAAAAAGTGGTATCAACCACCAGAAAAATGGTATCAACCGGTTGAAAAGTGGTATCAACCAGCGGAAAGTGGCATCAACCGGCCGCCAAATAGTAGCACGCGTGCGATGCCACGCTTCTTGCGATGTCGACGTCAGATTGCCCGCGGCGCCCTGGACTGGCCCTCATTGTACTCTGGGCCTTTATTTGCACGTACTCTCGGACCCAGGGGGCCTCGCATGAGAACTCCTCGTCTCTGTTGCTGCACCCCGTCAACGCTTGCAGAAAACAACGTCCGAGGCATCGAGGGGGATGCAGCTAGGTCACCATATGAGTATCCTGTTCCCTCGAATGTTTCTCTCCAGCGCGGTGCTCCTGACACCTGACACGCTTTCGCGTCAGCGCCGCACGCGATCTTAGCCTATTTCTGCAACAGTTGCACGTGTCGATGGCATGCGTTACTCGACAAATTTTCCCCTAGCACAGCAGGAGGGAGAGAAGACACAATCCGCTGCCCTTCAGGAAGGATATCCTCAGCACACCCGCGCGATGACGACCTAGCGCGATAACACCACAGTTGGACAACATTAAGTGTTCTAACCTAGTTATATATCACTTAGTGGGATAACGCTGAGTGGGGTAACACTCCGCAGGATAACGCTGAGGTGTTATCCAACTTAATGGGATATAACGTCAGTTATCCCACTAAGTGGGATAACGCCCGAGCGCGACGCCGATGCGGACAAGAATCTGGTCTTCTTACAAGGCCAATCGCGCGGACAAGAACCGCGCGTTTTGTTTCAGAGGCCCACCGTTGGCCCACCGCTGGCCCAACGCTGTCCTGCTCCTAAGTTTACGTGGTCGTTCACGGAGCTGGAGCACTGCTTTGAAGCGTCGCCTTCCCCGAGGTCGCGCGGAACGGCTCACCTATCGCGCGTTGGTCCGAACTCTGCACCAAGTGTTTCTGAGCACCCTCTCCGCTTCAGCCTCCCTCTTCTTTTCTTTCCCTCATTCCTCTTATCTTCTTCTCTGCAGGGTCTCACCGATGCGAAGTTTGGGTATTTCGTATCGCTCCGCGCTCGCAAAATCTTACTCGGTGACCGTTTTCCTAAGCAGTGGCGGTGCCTTCGTGCTAAACGTTGGCTCCGTTTGTGCAATTTCTCCCCTCCCTCCTCCCACCTGCTGGTTCTCTCCCTTCCTGCCTCGTTCTCCTTTGATCTGTACTGCGGCCAGAATTTCGGCCACGTTTGCAAGACAACCCTGACGCTCGTGCCGGCGTTTCGCACTTGCTACCCGAACCTTGGGCCATTGTGAAGTTTTGTTTTCTGCACGTAAGTGGGAGAACACTTGAAGGGCAACGCTAAGTGTCATCCCCACTAAGTGTTATCCTACGAAGCGGGATCACATGCTCTTAGGTTATCCCGCTTAGTGGAATAACTCCGGTTTTGAGGATGCGCCCAGCCCCGCCCCCCTTTCCCCCCGCCCCCCCCCCCCCCCAGCATGCACGGTATTTCAGGGAAACAAGTCACTGGTTTCTTGGAGCTGTTTTGAGTCATCTTGGATAACATGAGCGTCTATCTTGCGCATCCGAGGTTCTCGTGAGAAGACAAAAAATAAAATTCAACCAAAAGTCGCCCTTTCGCGCCCCAGCGCTGTGTTGACGAAATTGTTTACCCAACGCACTGTTAACGACATTGCCCCCCCACCCGTGGTCCGACCCGGTAGGAGGTGGCCTGCAACGTTCCATTGCTTTCGCGTCACCTCTGGGGGGTTTCATTTTCCTGGTTGGGCGACGCAGGCTTTCGTCAACTCCTGATGTCGAGTGCCACGAATGTGGTCTCATCTGATGGTGCGACGTGCAAGCGCGTAACACCAGCACAATGAAATCCAAACGGCGCCCTCTACCAGGGTCCCAACAATTCGTTGCAACATAGTCTTTCTTTCGAGTCGCGG